GGGACTGCCCCAAGAGAGAACACCCAGCAAATGCTCAGCCTACAGGTAGAGGGGATGGGGCTGGAGCGTGGGGAGGGGTCTCCAGGTCAGATCATGAGCAGCTCTACTCTTGCGGGTCATGGGCCAGGATCCTTCGGGTAGCTCTGGGCAAGCACAACCTGAAGAAGTATGAAGCCACCCAGCAGGTGCTGCGCGTGGTTCGCCAGGTGCCACACCCCCAGTACAACTCCAGGACCCACAACAACGACTTGATGCTGCTGCAGCTGCAGAGGCCGGCTCGCCTGGGGAGCGCGGTGAGGCCCATCTCTGTGGCCCAGAACTGCGCCAGCGCACAGACTCCCTGCCGCGTGTCCGGCTGGGGCACCACGTCCAGCCCCATTGGTGAGGATTGCTGTGTCCTGGGAAGGAGCAGGCTGGGGGCTGGGCTCCTGGGTCTGAGGGAAGAGGAGGAGGTGGGTCCCCACATTCCTGGGTCCCCTTGGCGGGTGGACCCACATCATGACCTCGCAGTGCCTCCCCAGCCAGGTACCCCAGCTCTCTTCAGTGTGTGAACGTCAGCATCGTCTCTGATCAGAAATGTCAGCAGGCATATTCCGGAGCCATCACTCCAGGCATGGTCTGTGCAGGAGTCCCAGAAGGCGGGAAGGACTCTTGTCAGGTGAGGCCCAGGGTGAGAGCCGGAGGAGGGGGAAGGCTTGGGGCTGGGGCTTCCGTACAAAAGGATCTCAGGAGCATGAAAATCAGTGGGGATCCCCCCAACACCTAGAGAGACTGTGATAGCCAGTCTGCCTCCTAAACCCTTGTAAAGGACCTAATCCCTCCATGCCTCAGTTTCTCATCTGTCAAGCAGAGGTAGCACCTCTTAGAGCAGTTGGTGGAATCAGATGAGATGGTCCATGGAAAGAGCACAGAGCAGTGTCTGCCCGCAGCTCAGAGTGCTGATATCTGCAGAGTTCCCCCCTTTACCCCCCGGGTCTCAGCCCATGTGCCTCCCCATCTCTGCCTCTCGGCTTCTCCATGCACGTGGCTCTGACCATCTGTCCGTGGGTGTCTCCATCGGTCTCTCCCCCTCAGGGAGACTCTGGGGGACCCCTGGTGTGCAGAGGACAGCTCCAGGGCCTCGTGTCCTGGGGGATGGAGCGCTGTGCCCTGCCTGGCTACCCGGGAGTCTACACCAACCTCTGCAAGTACTATAACTGGATCCAGCAAACCATGCAGAGCACATGATTGCCGGCAAGATGAAATATCGCTGCCCACTTGCTGCCCAGACCTGCTCTCTCCACTCAAGACCAGCCCCTCCTCCCTCAGACCCAGGGGTCCAGGCCCCCAGGCCCTCCTTCCTCAGACCCAGGGGTCCAGGCCCCCAGCCCCTCCTCCCTCACACCCAGGGGTCCAGGCCCCCAGCCCCTCCTCCCTCAGGCCCCGGAGTCCAGGCCCCCAGCATCCTGGACCTGACCCCTGGCTCAGAACTTCCCTCTCCCAGAGCAGTCCCTCAGCTGCTCTCGCCCCTCCCACCCCCACGGCATCACCACCCTTAGTCACAGAGGGCGGGAGCATGAAGGCACCACACTTGGCAATATATTCCAAAGAAGACTATTTTCCAACCTCTTAGCGTCTCTAAAAACCAGGTGAATAATAACAATGATGACTACTCCTAAATTCCGTTCATCTGTTCATTTGCCTCAGTCGGGACGTGTGCTCTCAGCGGCTCCGTGGGCACAGCTGGGAGCCAGGACCGACACTGGCTGAACGGGAGGCCAGCTGTTCCCTGGGGGTCCCCCCGCACTGTATCTGGTGTGAGGAAGGAGGCCCCTCAGCTTTGCAGTGTGACCCTGAGAGTACCACTGCTCCCCAGCCTCCCGTGTGGGTCCTGTGAGCAGGGACTGCTGAGGTCCAGGGCAGGGAGGGCAAAGATGGACTGTTTCCTGGAAAACACTATGCAAATCGAGGCTTTTTCCTAATCAGATCTCAGGTGAAGAGAGTTTAGTTAATCACGCTTTGAAGTTCAAGTCCTGGCAGAGCCCTGCTCTCGTTATTTTGGTTTATTTCCACCTGTCATCCCCGGCCTTGGTCTCCTCCCTCCCCACAGGCACCCACACAAATGGCCTCAGATGCCAATGCATTGTTGCATTGTCGCTTCTAGTTTATAGGAAGCCATTTGTTAGGAATTTCATTTTCTTTCTTACTTTCATTCATCTACAGCTATTTGATTGAGCACCAGACATTGGTCTACTTATTGGTCACCTACTGTGTGCCAGGCATTGGTCTATTTATTGGGCATCTACTGTGCACCAGGCATGTTCTAGAAGGGGGAACTGTGAACAAGCGAGATAAAACAAAATGCGTCCTCGCACAGAGCTTACATTCCAGCAGGAGATGACAGACGGGAAACAAGAAACTTACTTTAAAGTAAAGTAGAGAGTCCCGATAAGTAAAAGGTCAATAAACCTGGGCTGGGCGGCAGGCCCAGTGTGTGTCAGAGCTAGCTCATACCAGCCCGGAAGAGCCTGTTGGCAAATTTTCAGGAATTCTGAGAGCGGGTTGCTAAACACAGCCATTATTAAAAATTAAATTCCATAAACTTACAATTAAACAAGGTATATTAAAAACAAAGCCCAGCCCTGCCGGAGTGGCTCAGTTGCTTGAGTGTCGTCTTGTGCACCAAAAGGTTGCTGGTTTGATTCCCAGCCAGGGCACATGCCTGGGCTGCGGGTTTGATCCCCGGTCCGGCTGCAACTGATTGATGTTTCTCTCCCTCTCCTTTTCTCTCTCAAGTGAGGATTAAAAAATAAAATAAAAATAAAATAAAATAGTACTTTAAAAAAAAACACTCAAAACTTATCGATCCCTAATTATTTTTACTAATATCCATGCTTTGATGTTATTTATGTCTATCACATTACATCTGCAATGGTGGGTTTCTGAACATCTCTTTCTGATTCTCTGTCGAGTGACTTTGCATTGGTAGGTTGATATCAACCCAAGGGGCAGTATTTACACCACAGAAATTGGCAGACAGCACAGATCAGAGGGCTGTTGTTAAACCCTTACCAACACACTACTGGACAGGTCAGCCTGGGAGCAACCTGATGACCTTGGTGTCTATCTTCTCATAGTTCTGTGCTTGGGTGCTGCAGAGTTCAGACAGCGTGGAGTGCCATGTGACCACACCAGTGAACACTTGCTGTGCTGTGGGGAACAGCACAGAACTGGAGAGTTCTGAGGTGGCAGCTCTGAAACCTGCAGGACCACGGCAGCTCAAAAGGTTGCTGGGAAGTGCCCTGGCCGGGTAGCTTGGTTGGTTGGAGCATCATTCCAATATGTAGAAGTTTAGGGTTTGATCCCCGGTCAGGGCACATACAGGAATCAACCAGTTAGTACATAAATGGGTAGAACAATTGATCTCTCTCTCTTTCTTCAACCCTCTCTCTCTCTAAAAATTAACAGATTTTTAAAAATTAATTTTAAAAAAGATTGCAGGGAAACAGAGGCTGCACCTTCTGTCAAGATAATTCTCTCTCTCTCTTTCTCTCTCTCTCTCTCTCTCTCCCCCCGGCCAAACCAGCTCTGGGAGGAAAGGCAAGATAAGCAGCTGGGCACTTGGGTGCAATGAGGATACAGCCTTGGTGTAATTCTTGGCCTGCATCCTTCTATAAAGCTAAGTAAACATACTTTAATGATTACTTTAATCTGATTTCCAACCCATACTCCCAGCTGTGGTGGCTGAGTACCATATTTTATTGCTTCTCAGATACACATTCCTTTCACATTTTTAACGTTTCTAAAAGTGGGAAGGCAGCCCTGGATCCGTGGTTAGAGGGTCGGCAGGAGCACCGAAGGGTCTCAGGTTTGGTTCCTGGTCAAGGTCACACGCCTGGGTTGCAGGTTTGTTCCCTGGTCCTGTAGGGGAGCTTGTGGGAGGCAACTAATCGATGTAACTCTCCCACACCAATGTTTCTCTGTTTCTCTCCAACCCTCCCTCCCTTCCACTCTCTGTAAAAATTCAATGGAAAAAAAAAAATCCTTGGGTGAGGGTTCACACACAAAAATTTTTTTTAAATAATAATAAAAGTGGGAGGGCATATTACAACTAACTGATAGTGTCTTAATTTAATCAACACCCCTTTTTCCTTACTTACTGCAAATACAATCCACAGCATTGTGGACAAAAAAGCAGGGGGGCTCTATGGAAAGTAACCTTCCAGGGTGATCTGATCATAAATTCCTAACTGGGCAGGTCATGGTGGGTAGTCAAGCCCCAGGCATAGAACTTCTTTAGTGAAAGGTTTTTAAACCAGCCCTGTCCACTGTTCTTGTGCGTCTAAATTAACACGCGCACATAATCCAAACCCCACCTAGCTTTCTCCCACCTCCACGTAATCTTCCTTGGTTTCTCTCCTTAATTTCAAATGCGTGAAAGAAACCTCAAAACTTTTATTCCCCAGAGCTTTGGGGGATCTTGCTCCCCCACAGGTGTCTTCAGTTTGGCTCAGATAAACTCTTACAATAAGTATTTACAGGTTTGGATGCTTCTTATGTCGACAGCATTTTAGATTTAATGAAATAGGGAACAAAGGAAAGCAAATGTGGGTGAGGAGCCAGGCTGCTACGCTGAATGGACGATCTCATTTCTCCACACAGTGTTAATCTGTCAATGTTGCTGTTTTCTCATCTAGTTTATTGCTTCTGACTGCCAGTCTTCTCAGCCTGTACCAACCAACATGGTAGCCACTAACCACTTGTGGTCATTTGTATTTATTTATTTACTTATTTTTAAACCCTCACCCAAGGATATGTTTGTATTGATTTTAGAGAGAGGGGAAGGGAAAGGGAGAAAGAAAAACATGGATTGGTTGCCTCCCATATGCACCATGACCTGGGATTGAACCTGCAACCTAGGGTATGTGCCCTGACGGGGAATCGAAATGGCAACCTTTTGGTGTCTGGGACAATGCTCCAATGAACTGAGCCACACCGGCCAGGGCACTTGTGGTCATTTTAAAATTAAGATTAGCTGAATTTAGCATATGTTAAATTTCCATGTCTTAGTCTCACTGCCACATTTTGGTGTTCAATAAGCGTGTGTGGCTAGTGGCAGCCAAATGGGATCACGCCAATAAATAAAATATTTTCCATCATCGCAGAAAGTTCTATTGGACGTCTCTGCTCTAGTCTGTACCCTTGCTTCTCAGAGCACAGTCCTGAGAACAGCAGAATTGCAATCACCTGAAGCTCATTAGAAGTTGAGTCTTGGACCCCCACCCCAGAACAACTAAACCAAAATCTGCATTTTACCAAGATCCCAAGAGGACTCAGTGCCTTTAATAGGCACTTAATAGGTGCTTTGAGAAGCACCACCCCGTGGTATGAACGTAAGAGATGTCCAAACCTGTAGAGAATTTTTGTAAGATTCTATTTGAGCCAAACTGATAACATATGTTGGGGAGCAAGATCTCAGATCCTTGATAATAACAGTTTTGCAGCTTTTTTTTTTTTTTTTAATGCTTTTGACGTTAAGGAGGGAATTAAGGAAGATTAAGTGACGTGGGAGAAAAACAAGGCGGGGATTGGATTACAGGCTAGTTAACAAGATTAAGTGCTCTCTTGAGGGTGGTTACGCCTTCCAGGGGTATTACTTCTGGCATTTCAAAGGTGTGTTAACCTAGATGCACAAGAACAATGGACTGGGCTGGCTTCATAACTTTTCACTAAAGAAATGGTAGGAAAAATGGGGGGGGGTGTCAAAAAAATAGATGTCCTGGCCGGGTAGTTCAGTTAGTTAGAGAGTCCTCCCAATACACCAAGGTTGAGGGTTTGATACTACTCAGGGCACATACAAGAAGCAACCAATGAATGAATAAATAAATGGAACAAATTGATGTTTCTGTCTCCCTTCCTCTCTCTCTCTCAAATCAATTTTAAAAATATTTTTAAAGACAAAACAAAAAAACAGAGAAGTGATAGGCTACCCAGCCTGCCCTGCCCAGTTAGGAATTTGTCATTAATTTCAGCACGACTTTTTTACCCACCATGCTAATGACCCAGTCCCCCAGCGGTGGACACACCTAGGTTCCCTCTACTACCCAAACGATGGCACAGTGACTATTTGAGGTGTCGACCATAAACAAAAGTCGACCAGGTATTTGGTCGCCAGAAAGGATTTATTCAGGAAAAAGTACTGCAATCCAATTGTGCAGCCACAGCCATCCACGTGGAAGTTCATGCCA